AAAGGCAGACTGAGCTGCTGAGATGCAAAGATGGAACACTTGCTTCAGTCTATTGGTCAGAATTTTTGAGATGATTTTGCATAGGAAAGTATAAAGACTGATTGGTCTATGTCTATGATCTTTAATTTTTTGAGGTTTTTTAATTTTGGGGATAAGAGTGAGAACAATATGGTTAACATTTTTAGGGATTTTTCCATTTTTAAAAGAAGACTGGACATCTGAGCAAAAATTGGTTTTGATGGTTGGCCATGATTTTTGGAAAAAAGCTAGTGCCATCCCATCAATTCCTTCTGGTCCACCACTGAGTCATCAAAGAGTTCCTTGATAAGCTCCAAGTTCCAATTCCTTCCTCCCTCGTCCATCATCTCAGAGACCATTGTTCGCTGATGATTACAGTTGACCTTGAATATTGGGACACCAAACTTAGTTCCTTGTAACCAAGGGTCTTTGAGAATTCTGGTGTTGATCCCATCCTTAACATCCCTTCTGAAAAAATGTTGGTAGGAGGCCTTAACTATCATCCAGCAGTTCCACATCTAAGAGGAGCTTTGAGTTCTCTGAGCTTCAAGGACTGAACCCATGGGAAAGTACCCCTCCTTCAAAATTTTTGTAACTAAAAGATTAGGAAATGTAAGTAATCTCCGAATCTGCTTCAGAATGAGTGCATCACTGAACAACTGCACATCTTGAAAGCCCAGCCCACCCCAAGCTTTAGGAGTAGCAACCCCCTTCTATGATTTCTAATGAATGCCTATCTTATGCATATCTCCAGAGCTCCACCAAAAATTGGCACATAACTTGGAAATTTCCTTGCAAATTCCTTTTGGAAGAGAGAACACCGACACGATAAATACAAGAATAGAATTGAGGACAGATTTAATTAGTACTTCTTTGCGTGTTGTAGATAAGAATGTGTTTTTCCAGCTTTCCAGCTTCCTCTTCACAGCCACACACAGAGTCAAAGACTTCCTTTTTAGATTTCTCTATTCCCAAATGCATGCCAAGATATCTGGATGATCTATGGACATAAATACCAAGCAACATGTCGCAAATCTGATGTTGGGTTGAAGGATAGGTGTTTCTACTGAAAAAGACAGTAGATTTGTCCAAGTTCACCTTATGCCCAGTGAACCTCTGGTACTTTGCTAGTATTTGTAGGATGGTGTGACTTTGCTGACAAGAAGCCTCACAGAAGACTAAGAGAATCATTTACAAAAAGAAGGTGAGTGACAGACACACCATTTCTTTATAGACCTAACCCCTTAAAGTTACCCAGTCTCACCTCAACTGCAATTAATTTTGAAAACACTTCAGGAATAAGAATAAACAGGTAAGGGGATAAAGAATCCCCCTTCCTTATCTTCTAGATGGAGTCACAAACCCACAAACTTTACCATTCAGATTAAATGAAAAAACAATGGATGAAATACAAGTTGAAATCCACTTGACAAAGACTTCGTCAAAACCCATTTGCAATAAAACCTTGATAATATTGTTCCACTCCAGCCTGTCATAAGCCTTCATCATATAAACTTCACTTCCATATAGCATTTACTACTAGATCGGTGCCTATTCAAATAGTGAATTGCTTCCTGAGCTATAATTAGATTGTCCATTAATTGTCTATCTTGTAAAAAGGCAGCTTGACATTCACTAATACAACAATTGAGGCACCATTTGAGTCTTGTAGTCAACACTTTAGATATAATTTTGTAAAAAACCCCCACAAAGATTAATAGGTCTAAAATTCTTGAGAGAAGTTGGAAGAACAAAGGTGATGTTCTAACCTCTCCAGGTGATTTTGCAGGGCTCATACTGAAGAGAGCAACCTTGATTTCATCTTCAGTAACTTCAGCTGTGGGTTCCCTGTTCACGTCCTCTGAGATAGATTTGGGTATCAGATGCAGTAAAGCTTTTTCTCCTCTGGAACCTTCTGACCTAAATAGATCCTCATAAAAATCCACCACACATTTCTCAAACACTGCTTAAGTCTTAAACACCCTATTGTTTCCTTCCACCAGCCTAGAAATTGAGTTTGTTTTCCTTCTTTTGCATAGTCAGAGCATGGAAAAACTTGGTGTTCTCATCCCATTCTCTTAACCACTTTTGCTGCCAAAACTGTTCTTCAGAGATATGGACCTGATCCAACTCTTGTTTAATTCTTTTGCACTTTTCCCAGTTCCTCTGACCACCAGTCAATCTCATTTCTCCAAGACTTAGGGTCAACTTTGCAATGGTCTGAGAGTTCGCAGAACTGAAAGCTTTACTCCAAATGAGGAGTGCAACTCTGATTTTTTTAATTTCTCTTTCATAACAAACATGTGGGTTCCCTTCCTGAGGCTGCTCCCAAGCAACTTTCACAGTATCCTCCACATCTGTCTTTTGAAGCCACCTTTTGTCAAAAAAGTACCTTCTTTTCCATCTTAGAGTGTCAATGGGATTAGAATCCAGTACTAATAGGCTATGGTCTGAGGAGCTTTTAAAGGTGTTGAGAACTATAGCATTTGGGTGACCAACCAACCATTGAAATGACCCAAAGGCATATCAAGCTTTTCCTCTATAAAGCCCTCTTGAGCTCTATTGTTACCCCAAGTAAAGTTAGGACCTCTCATAATGATTTCCCCCATTCCCATCCCTGCAATGAAGTTATTGAATCCCTGTAAACTTCTAACAAATTTCTCCCTCCTTCCTCTTTTCTCAGATTGGGAACAAATGTCATTCCAATCCTCTTCAATTACCCAATTAAACTCCTCGCTTACCCTTAGCATTCCTAAGATAAGACCACTGAGCTTCTCTCACTATCTTCTCAGTAATAGCATACACCAAAATCACTAGAAAGATTCTGTAACCCCTACCACTTTAGCTTCCACTTCAAAACAGGCGCATTACTTAACACCTGCAAACTTCAACTTCCGAATCCCACAACACTAACAGCCCCACACACATCCCCCTAGGCTCTACAACACTCCACCTCTTATGAAAACCCAACTTTTTACAAACTGTTTTCGAGAATTCTAAAGGCTTCCTAGTTTCTGATAGGAAAATAAAATTTAGGTGATGGTATCTAATGGCTTCCCTCAGCTGAGCAACTGTAGAGGACTCACCCAGATCTCTACAGTTCCAAAGTATTGTCTTTATTGGTCATTGTGAGGCTAATTAAGGTTGGCTACCACCACGTGTTTCTCTTCCAACTTCGCTTTCTTCTTATCTCTTGAATCTGGCTGCACTAGATCCCCTTTCCCCTACTTGTTGAGAATTGGAGTTTCTACTCCTCTTTGAATTAGTGCCTCAGAAAAGTTGATAAGAATACCTTGCTGCCTTAACAATCTCCCCTCAGCTTTTGGAGCTCTTTTCCAACTCTTACCAGTTCTGCTGGTTTTCTGCTTTGTTTTGACTCCACTAGGATTAATCCAAGATGTTTGTCTGGAGCATCAGGTTCAACCTCCATGGGAATACCATTCACTTTAATCCCCGGTACTCCATTGTCCTCTATACTTGGCAGAACTAGTGACTGGGGGGTGAAACCACCTTGGATGATGAGAGTTGCTCCGAGATGACTCGACCAGTGTCTTTTCCTTCATCTGCTTTATGGGAGGTCATCTCCACATTTACCAAGGCCTTTATATGTCCTTCCCCCCCCCATAACTTGGGTATTAGGCTTCAAAGTTATTCTTTCTTGATGAAAAGGGGTATTATGCTTCAAAGTTATCTTTTCCTGATGAAAAGGCACTTGATCCTACTTATAGAGATTAGAATCAAATTTAATCGGTTCTGAACTGTGAAAGTTGTTTTACCTGAATCAAGTAGAACTGTCACTTTCTTTGAGCCACTCTCGACACTGGCCTTCCTGCAAGTTCCTNCCTTTATTCCCCCCGGCTCTAATCACCATGACATTCTTCACTTTCTTGAAGATTTCACCAATTTTCAGGCCTACCTCCGCACTGCCAGTGAAGAGGAAAGTTGTGCACCTGCACCCAGAAATTGATTTGCTTGAAGCACTGGTTGTGCTCAGAGATACCTTCCTCCCACTCATTGAAAACCAGATATTAGTTTTCAAATAGCTAACTTGTCCTTAACAAAACCTTCTTCTTGTCCTCCTAATTGCCAAAAAGGAATTGAAGTAATTGCTGCCAATTTCTCTAACATCTAACGGAGCTCTAATATGCCAGATGCTCCCCATGGTCCGCCTAATTCCGAGTAAGCTCGCCTTCTTATCTCCCAACACTTTACCCAAAAGAGTGTGGCTACATTCTTCGCTACTGGCTCTGACATCCTCATCTGCAAGCTCAACCACCTTTTTTTTTTCGATTTCGAAATCACTATATTCTTCAATCTTCGCCCTAATTCCTCCTCCATTGCACTGGCCTTGCACTAAACCCTAGCTTCCCACCGAAACACAAGCACTGAACGTCCTACGAAAAAAGAGATTAAGACGTGATGCAAACACTGAGAATCAAACACTGGAAAAATCTCATCTCAGTGAGAATGGTATCACTCAAAAAAGAGAATCGGAGCTCTCAACCGAGAGAATTTGGCCTGGCAATTTTTTGCAATCTGTGTTTTTTATTTTTTTAAACATTACTCACGTAGTAGTTGTGTACTTTAGTCATATTAAAATTGTCATGTACTTTAGTCATATTAAAATTGTCAAAATGAAGCCATTAAACATTACTTGTGTAGTAGTTGTGTACTTTAGTCATGCTAAAATTGTCAAAGTGAAGCCATGTGATGAGATCACAGGGCAAGCAACTTATGTCAAAATTGTCAAAGTGATGTGATGGATTTGGGCCACAATGAGTCGCAAGGTTTGATAACATGAATATTAAGATATTTTCCAGTCAAGTGAGTAAAAAGGATGAATTTTACCTACGCTATATTCAGCATAGAACAAACCACACTATTATTGTTATGACATGAAGCTATCAACAAAAATCCTACCATTTTGACAAAATGTATGCCATAATTGATATTCTAGCAACATGACTAATGTGCCGTCAAGCACATGATATTCCATCTAAAAGCACAAGGAAAGACAAATCAATGCCCAACAGAAGTGAAACAGTGCTAACAGAACATCCATCTAAAAGCACAAGGAAAGACAAATCAATGCCCAACAGAAGTGAAACAGTGCTAACAGAACATCACATACCAATAAAACTGATATATTCTAGCAGATGCCAACTCCCAACTCTGCATTGAATGCTTAATTACATGGACGCTGGTAAATAAGAGGGGTAGCTATTTACAATGGGTGAGCACATGGTTCAAAGATAGCAATGCCCCATAATGTGTCATTTACATTATATGTATGACCGGGGGTTCAAAATTGCAAAATATTACTAAAAATTGCATCAAAATACGAGATTTAAGTCCTGCCAGCATGACGTCCATTGCGCATATATGAGCATCTCTCCTGGCTCCAAAAAATTTTGACTGCTCGATGAAACATATCTTCTCTTCCTCGCCAGCATTGCATACCTATTCAGTTGAATAAGAACTCCCATGTCAATATCTTTGATAACTTTTTCTCCATAAGTTGGAAAAAACAAGATATAATAAAATAAATAAAAAATAATCTTGTTGACTTCTCTGTGATCAATTTACTCGAGAGCATCAAACCCTTATACGACTACAGCACTTCTATGTAACAGCTTTGACTTCCAATCCTCAAAAAGAGAAAAAAAAACATGCTAATGATATTCTAAATGGAGATGGAAAAATTACCAGGATAGATGTGGAAAACTAGCAATCATCATCAGGGTTAGATGATGAAGTTGTTGGCAAATGCTTATCTTCTTTAGCATCCAGGCCTTCCGCAACTGACGAGGTTTCTTCACCTTTAGAATTGAAAGTTGCTGGATTCATACGCTGCACTTCCTCTTTCGTAAGTATCATGATTTTACGAACCATGCCACAAAACTCGCTGTTCAGCAAAATAGAAGCCACTTCTTGTGAGGAAAATCATAATATCCTAAAAAGGCAATCAAGACATGTCTATAACATCAAGTGTACAGCCTAGAGGAACTAGGAAGATAAAATCTTACTCCCAGGGGTCATCTCCAACGAGCATCATATCGTCCTCATCATCGGTATACACGACAAGCCAATTTTTGTTCCGTGCCTTGAGTTCACCATCGAATTCAAAGATACTGTCCAACTCCGCAATCAATTCATCATAATTATCAAACTTGGAAAGATCCACCGACCTACCAAGAGCACTCCCCTGCTTTTGGACCTGAAAATGAGAAAATTAGATTAATTTCTTAATTCTATTAAGAAAAAAATAAATAAATAAATAAATAAACAGAAGTATGATAATTCCATATGAGAACCTTAGTGCAACTCCTGGCTGAACCAGAATGACCTTTGCCTTCTCTCTCGCGAGACGCAAGATGGGAAGTATGGAATTGCTTGTCCTGCTCACCAGTGGCAACTGGAGTACCCACCACTTTTGAGCCCTTAGATTGATCTGACCTTTGATCAGCCTCAATTGCTGGGTAATGTACACCATGATGCATGCTATTTGACGGCTCAACAACAGAGGTTTTGTTTGCCAATAGCGACGATTCCAACGATACAGAATTACTCAATAGGGAAATGCCGAATAGCTTGCAGTTCCCTTCCTTTGGCCTCACAGCATCTACTTGTGCTTGAGAAAATACCGGCTTTGGCATCATATCTCTCGGCTGAGCTGGCGGAATTTGAAGGTATTGTTGTGAAATAGGAGGCGGCATCAGCCAGTTTGCCGGTTGATTGTCGGAAATCAAGGAAAAATCTCTAAAAGCGCCGTATCTAACATCCCCACGAGTCTGATAAGATGTTTCGGGGTTCCTCAAGCTGGAATCCATCAGATTGAGCGACAGGCTTGAAGGCTGTAATGACCAAGTGTTACCAATTACACTAAATTTTGCATCGCGTTCTTGTGTTTGTCGATTCTGAACTGCTTGATCACCAGATGGCATACAGAAATCACGAGACGAGTTAATCTGTGACCCAAAACCAGACAAAAGATCTGTGAACGAAGATTCGGGCCTTCCCATTGGTAACCATTTATCCGGCCCATATCTTCTGGAAGCAGAAACTACATCAATCTTCTCATCATCTGTTGCGGAGTTCCACATTAACGGCTTATCAGCAGCCTCTGATTCATTGCTCTCAGAGAAAGTGCCTCTCAAGGTCGACAATTCTTGACCTTGCAAGACCCTTGGAAATCCACCGGCGGGTGAAGGGTCTACTGGCATCTTAGATGGACCTACAATACATCAAAACGTAATTTAACTATTCATAAAATACAGTATCCAATGATATATATAGTACACCCTCCTACTCATAATATATGTCGTTTTGAGAAGTTGCACAATAGTTAAGAATCTTTTTTTTGCCAATAATAACCCTCGTTAATGAAAATAGAGATGGATGTTTTGGAAATAGATAAAGAATGAATATGAAAAGGCGTAGTGTATTTATTAGCTAAATGAGGGTAATAATGAAAAAATATGTACAAAAGATCCAAAATGTCATTTATTTGGTTAATGGTTGATAAAGCCAAAATGACATTTAGAATTAATAGGAGGTAATATATTGCAACAGATGAACTTCGTAAGAGGCATGAATAGATAAAGATAGTCACAACCTTCCCTAGTAAGAACAGAAGAGTCGGTCGATGAGGGTAAGACATTTGATCGAGGCCTTTTCGGTCGGGACACTGGAAGTGGATTTAGCGCAGGTGGAGAAATAGCAGGTTCTATTTTCCAGGGTGAAACTCTCTCAGGTCGAGGAGTTGTTGAAGTTTCATCCCATCGCACCTTATATGATAAAATTGAGGATGTTAAAATAATTATTTATAAGGGGGGAGGGATAGGCAGCCTTATCAGATTTGAAGATGGTGTACCTTTAAGCATCTCCATTTCGACTCTGGCCACCTACTGGGATCCGCGTCTTCAATTCCGACAATAGTTCCAGTGAACCTACAGAATCAGCATCATTAAATTAACAATATAGTTAAGCTAGGTATTTACTAATCCATAGATCATCAATATTCAAGTTGATGAGATGCACTCTACCTCTGTTCTGGTGCTTCTTCTCCTTCAAACCTCATTTTGAATCTCATTCCTATTGAATAGTTGTTTTTAACAGACTCCATGTACTGATCATAGGGGACTATAAACTCTGCAGGGCTGGTCCTGCAACGTAAATACAAACAAGATGATTAACATGTAACTTATTCTGTTATTATTCTCAGACCATAACGAAGCCAAAACTGTAGTTACACAAAAAACAAAGATTGGCAAGAGTGGCATATTTTGACAAATGCCAAACCATCAATAAAGTAGCAGCTTAATTGCATTTCACAGTTTAACTTATGGAGCAACGAATCATATCCACGATACAGAAGAAAAGCGGAGGCAGCCACACCAAATACCTCGGCTTGTAATAAACTGTGAACATAGTCTTGGTCTGAATTGCATGCCAAGCAGTTGCCAGAACACCAAGATGCATGCTGTGGCTAGATATGACTGAAGATGGAGCATTACCCTGCTGTCTCATGGCTCGCCTAACTCCAACACGCAGCTCATTGTTCTCCCCTCTGAAAATGCATAGCACACATTCAACTATACTGAACAATTGGGTTAACCTCTAGCTGGACACAAGAAAAGATGCATCTAACCTCAAAAATATAAAAGCATCCCCTGCAACAAGTCTTTTCGAACTAACAAAGACACTCCAACCACTTTGGAGGAGGTGTCGACGTGGTTGACCTGCATATGAATAATTAATCAGTTATTTTCCAATTTTTTACCTCCTACAGTTCCCACTCTTACAATAAAAGGTTAAGTTGCGACTCTCAAGTCCCTACCTTCCCCTCATATTCTTTTTGGGGGATATTTATTCAAACATATTTGCCATAACAGCAGAAAAAATATTAGTATAATATATATAGTTCGGCAATCACAAGCAACTTGGACAAAACAATGGAAGAGCTCAGATGAAACTTTACCACGAAAAATATGCCTGAATCGCCACTCGTTTCCATGCAGATCTTTTGCCACTAGTTCCTGAGTGGGGGGCTGTCTAGACATATCCTGCCATGAGACAGAATAAGACAATCAACAACACCATCAAATAATTCATTGAAAAACTTGACAGGCTCCAGATAGATTCGCACGAACCAGTGGAGGAAGACATTCATCAGCATGACGTCTTAGGACTGAGAACCCACCATGAGTGCTTGTATCTGACGCAGTAAGAGTCTTACAAAAAGAATGTACGTGAAAATTAGGAGACGGTGCTGGGAGAGGTTCCTTTTTCACTGCATTTTCATCTTGCTGGTAAAGAAAACCTCATTAGAAGCAAGGCATAAATAGATATCAAATGAAGATAACGTTTTAAGAATTTAAATAATAATAGTAATAGTAATAATAAAATAATAATAAACACACAATTGATTTAGCTTACATTAGGTTCAGGCATCAAGGTAACTTGAGCAAACACCTCGTCGGTATCAGGTTCAGCCTGCCACAGAGAAAATAAAACAGAACTATTAAAAAAGCAGGTGAGAAACCCTCTTAGTGCTAAGACCCATATAAAAATCTTGAGAAACGAACAAAAAATAACCAGAGAAGAACAAAAAAGAAAATAGAAAATAACACACACAGATACCTTCAAATTAACATTCACCACTCGACACAGAATCTTGGGAGGAAGATTATAAACAGGCATCTGCTGGTCTGCACTTTGATTAGTAGATGCCTCCACCTATTCAACAAAAATTCATAAACAAACTATGATCAGCAACTAATTCACAAAACCATAAAACAGAAAGAAAAAAAGAAAATGACCAAAAAACTCCCAATCCACACAAAGGGAATAATCAAAATGAAACAGATTTGAGGAATAAATTTCAATTATGGGCCACTCGTCAGAAAAGCTCAGTTATTGCTATAAAGCACGAAGGGAAACAAAATTAAGAGAAGTGTCAAAAACTTAGATCGATCAGAGCTTTGACAGATTCTCCATCTCTTTCACAACTTCAGAACAGAAAATCAAAAGATATACATAAAATAAAAAATAAAAAATAAAAAACGAACCTGTTCTATGTGTCCCTGTGGAAAATAAAAAACAAGCTCGTTCTCACGAGGTACGGTCACAAGAGGACCAGCGCAAGCCCTCCATAGTTCAGTATATAGAGCTGTCTCAGCATCCACTGAAAGAGAAAGCAAGCAAAAGAGAGAAATAAAGATATAATGACAGCAAAAAAAAAAAGAGAAAAAAACATAGAAAAAAGGATAACTTAAATCTAGCAAGACATACCTTTTCCGGCGCCGGAATTCCCCTTGACCTGACCGGAATCAAGGTCCCCGATGTCTTTATAACCCTTGATCGAAACCTCAGATGCAGCCATTTCTTCACACACTAGTTACAACTCAGATCCCTCATCTCCAAGCCACAAAAACAACTTTACAAGGAGAAAAGACAAGTAAAATCACTAAAACCCACAAGGATTTCACAGTTGAACCTGGGAGAAGCAGAGAGGTAGAGAGAGAGTGAGAAAAAAAATATCAGATGGTACGCTCGTGCTCACAAAAACACGGAGAGATATAATTTCTGAAACAGAAATCGGATGAAAAATTTGTGAAATTATTATTGTGAGGGATTTGGTATATTGAGGGGAGAGCTAAAATGATATATGGTGAGTATTGTATTGGTAGCAGCAAATAGGTGATGAGAGAGAAGAAGATAGAGAGAGAAAAGAATAGAGAGAGAAATGGAAGGGCTTTTGGAGGAGTGGAAAGCGGGTGTGGGTTAGTAATGATGCCTCAGCGGCGAAACTGGTCACTTCCGGTAAACGCTTAGGCCACCTTTGGGATCTCAATTAAATTTAATTTTATTGTTTATTATTATTATATTATTATTATTATTGTTTTTATGATTTTAGAGATAATAAATAGATGTTATTTCATTCTATGTTTCTTTAATGAGTTTAAGGGTGAAAGAAAATAATAATAATAATTAATTGTCACAAATGTTAGGCAAACTATTCATGGTTCGACTCCTCATATTTATAAAACAATACAAATATTATTGTAAAACAATAACAAATATTATTTAAAAATATTATATTTTTGGTATATGACTTTTCTAAATACGATGTCCCAATATAATAAATATACTATTTATAAGAAAAAAGTATATATGTCTAATAATTTGGCTAAAATGTTTAATAAATGTGGATATTTACTATATGAAATGTTTGTTATATGTTGAAGCATGTCATTTTGCAGGGATCATATTGTATATACTAATGGAATATTTTTTTTATGAAAAAATATATATATATATATATATATTTTAAAAAAAAGTTATATTTAAGTGATGTTTAAATCTACTAATAGGTTATCAATTAACTCATAATTTAGATGGGATTGGTGTAAACTAGCTCATTATTGTTGAGATGCTTAAAAATTCTGATAACTATCCAATAAAAGAACTATCTAGTAACAAACATGATTCTCCAAAAAATTATCGATTAAGACTCTTTTATAGTTTCAAGTTAATATATATATATATATATTAATATTAATTTGAAAGTAAATATGAGAACAAGAAAATGCATTTTATCCAATTATCAAAGTACACACTCACTTCTACCCAATACGAATATGAATTAGTATGTTCATTAGCTGACAATTGATAAAATAGTATATTCTATTTTCAACTAAATTATATATTTCTCAACAAGTAAGTGCATTCAATTTTATTATTTTTGCGTAAATATAATTTTACGCATTCAATAGTGACAAATAGCAACATTTTTTTACCAAAAACGGAGAATATCAACATTTAAGACTTGATAATGATTCTTAATAATATTCATTTAAAAATGTTAATTTTTACACAAAAATAGTGTCATCCCACATTTTGTTCTAATTTTCAACAATGCAACTAAACAAATCCGGAAATAAGTCGAAAATGACAATTGAACGGATGTAGAGGAAGATATTTTGGAATTGCATTATTTCGGCCAAGCTTTGCTTTTGATTTGCATTGCTTTTTGGAAAGAATAAAAAGAGAATGCAAACTCAAAAAATAATTAGTAGATGAGAGGACAATTAATTATGGAGATGCGAGAAAAGCAGAGAAACCAAACAGCGCCTTGCTGCGTTGACCGGGAATACCCGGTGGCAGGGGGTGTGTCTGGGGGGACATTATCAATAAAGGACATCTTAACGGCGTCATTGTGGAGCCGTTAACTGTGTCGCTGTGTTAATGGTTCGGAAGCTGACGGCGTCAAGTTGTTCGGTTTTTGTGGGGAAGTGGGCTTGTCGTGCTATTTACGAGCATGGTAGGATGGGGTGCAGTGCGCTGACCACACCCTATGAACAATGTTAAGATTACATTTAACCATGATTAAGGTTCATTTACTGTCCCGGTTTCCGTGCTGGGTAGTAAATAGTAATAGTCGGTAAAAAGTAAGAACTACTTCACATTTTGTAAAGAGTAAAAAATGCTTTTTGTAAACAGATTTTTTTTTTTTTTGGGTAAGAAAATCAGTTTTACCTTATGTATGCATCTTTTACTTTTACGCCTTATATGATGCTTCCTTATTTTTCATGTTTGAGTTTTTAATTATTATTATTATTTTTTTTTCAAATTGTCTATTCTGTTTCATTGTCGTCCCTATCTTATTTATGTGTTCCAAAATTATGATACACATAATTTTTTATCTTCCAATATTTATATAAATCTTTTCCACTGTACGTAAATGCAAAATTTTATTAGTCTTTTTTAAGTACGCAGTGTTACAACTCAAAGGTGTTAGAATCATACTACCTCCTTTTTTTTATAAATGTCATTTTAGCTTTATCAACAATTGTCTAAATAAATGACGTTTTGGATCTTTTGTACATATTTTTCCATTATTACCTATATTTAGCTAATAAATACACTATGTCTTTTCTTATCCACTCTTTATATTTTTTCAAAACATCCATCTCTATCCTCATAAATGAAGGTTATTATTGACAAAAAAAATATTCTTAATTAGTGTGCAATTTCTCCAAACGACATCTATTAAAAAAAGGAGGGAGTATGTGTTATGTCATTATTGTTGGTGTTTTGTAATTTGCTGACATTAGTAGCTTATTTGATTTTGAGTTACATTAAATGATGTTAAAACAACATTCTTTAATGACAATTTACTAGAGGATTTTTATGTGAAACAACATGAAGATTTTTTGAAACGAGGTGTGAGAGTATAGAGTACGCAGACTATGTTAGTCTGTCAGAACAAAGAAATTATGTATTACTAAACTGTGTTTCCTTGATTTAGAATTCGTGTATGTGATTTGGAAATCTTCAGAATTGAGTTTCCAATGGAGATCTTGTGTTCCCAGACTGATGTAAGAACAAGTCTTTCCTAAAATAACCGATCTTCCAAATCTCAAATATCATGGGGTGAATCTTTCCAAATTCTCCTTAGATCTTCTCTAAAACGTCTAGAATTCTTTATGTGTGGATAACTCATCCTTTCATAGTCCTTGACCACTTATTCCTTGTCCTACAAGAGAGAGAAAACTAACTATGACATAGAATCAAACTCATTAATATAAGTGACATATACAAGTGAATATAAGTGAATATATAAGATATATATTACGTAATCCTTCTTCTAAAGGATTAAGATTCCATAATACATATTATTATAAATATATACCACATATTATAAATAATAAATACTAGGAACTTAATTAATTCACAAGTAAATAAATAGAAAAACTTCTCTTTAATTTATTTTGATTGTCTAACAAGAAAATCTTCTAGAAAACACTTAGGTTTGGACAATGCCAAAACAATATTTTTACAATTTTGCTCTAGTAAGGGTGAAAATTTAGTTGCAATCTTAATAAAGTGATATATGGGCTGAAACAAGCCTCACGTTAGTGGTATTTCAAATTATATGAAGTTATCACTTCATTTGCTTTTTGAAAAGTATACGTTTACAGTTTAAGGTGTTCAACTTGTGTTTTGTAACAATTTATGTAACCACATAAGAACAGTTAAAATAGTGGAAGCACAACAAATACTCTTCGGGGAGCGTCCCACTGCCCCTTAGAGCTCTTTCATTGATAACTCGATTGTGCACACATGTATAGTCTTGGACTTACAACAACCAGAACTCCCTTCTAGACTCGCCACAACTATACTTGAATCTACCAACTACTTCTCTGGCCACCTCTCGTGGACTTTTAAAACACTCTCGATCCCTCGAGCAAAACTTAGTACTGATCACAAAAGTGTTTCAATAAAATAAAACAAAACTAACTCAAAACAGCTTCAGTGTTCAGACGTTGTAAGAACATCAAAACACTGAATTGCGAACTAAAAAGAAAAACATCAAAAAGCTTAAATCTCAATTGAAGCTCGAATGCTATGAATATCAGGAATTTCAGCATCCTTCAATTGATCTTCAAGTAGGGTTTATATAGCATCCTTAGGCGTGTACTTCTTCTCCAAGTTCTTTCCTTCATGCGCGATCTCCTTGATCTTCTTTCCAAATATAATGTGGAAACATGGAAAGTAAATATCCTCTTTGATCTCGTTTCAACGCGTCCTTTTCCGATGCTACCATGCACATTAAATCCTACAGAATATACCCAAAATAAGAGAATGCAAATCCAATATATAAATAATAATTCGAATGAATATTAGTAAATACAAATAAAAATAACTTCCCTTTTTATGTTTGCAAGAACATATCTTCAATATATTATTTTTGAACTTCATTGTCAAAAATATAACTCTTTCAATCTCCCCCTTTGGCATCTAGTTCGAAAATTATATAATAATGATAACCTGAAATAAAGCAAGAACAACAAGCAAGAATATACAAGTATAATATCACAAGGTATATGGTACTGCAACAAAAATCGACTGAGTAAGAACACAGTCCTGTACCTCCAATCGCAGAACATCAAACGCACATAGCCTAAAAATATCCATCCATTGCGTCGAATATATAGTGCCACAATCTTCATTAATCCATTTTGGCGTGATTTTCCGACGCTATGTTGGAGGAAATTTCCTTATATGGCACTCGACCATCTAACTATTTCAAAATTTATATTGGTCCATTCACCTAAATATAGGGTAAGAGCATACACAATATTTTGGTTCTATTAAAAAAAATTACATGCTATGTAGAAATAGACCTAGTTTAGAAAGATATATTGTCCAATGAAAGTGAAAGTGAAATGAGTAGAGCTGATGACAATAAGAAAAACACATATTATTCTTAAGTCCCATTTAGACATAAACAGAGACCCGACCTCTTTGAATTGAAATTATTTTTGATATTATTACTTTTATCCATGCTATCTAAGACTTGAATTCATTTATATGTCGCGTAAGCAAAATTGAACTTGTAAGTTTTGAAGATTGGCAATAAATCGACGAACCTTCTTCAGTTCCCAGTTTCAGACGATGCATGAATATTTAAGGGAAGTTGACTTTATTATTTGGACAAGTTCTTTTTAAATTACTTCAGTTTATTGATTAATATTTATACGTGTTTTATTATAGCAGGTTCAATGGAAGGGAATTGAGATTCACCTTCCATATATGCTTACCTTCCATGTGCGCTCACTGTCCATATGTGCGAGATTCAGATCACGCGACCTTGACCTTCCATAAGACGACCTGACTTAGCAGCGAAGTTAGTGAGAAACTTACCATATGTGTGTGAAGATAAAAGGGCGACTAGATGATCATTAAGGCACATCTTTTTCACGTTTTGTCTGAGAG